CCAAATACAAAGAATATAATAATAATTTAAAAATAACCCAATACATATGAAACCAGGCTTTGTAGTAAGCACGTGCATTATTTCATAAAATTCTCACAACAACCCTGTGACACCACTTCTATTATTATTATCATTTCACAGATGAAGAAACCAATGCACAGAGGTTGAATAACATGCTAGATCTGTATTCCTATATTTAATTTTCACAATTTTTTTCATGTTTGTGGGTCTCTTACCTTAGCAATGTCATACAAGACAGAAATCTTAAACTCCCAATCCATGAATGTACCATCGGGGTAGGAAATTGTGTCATTCAAAACTTCCTGAATGGGGGTGGGGAAGAAAGAAGATGAATTGTTAAAAGGAAGGAAGGATATTGTGGAGAGATGATTAGGAGCCAGAGAATGACCTAATCATGAGGCCTGAGGATCAGGAACAAATTGGAACACCATTGTCCTGGTCTTCATGAACACCTATTCTTTTCTTCTCTACATAAGAAGTGTTGGGTGGTTTTCACCACAAGGAGGCGAGCAGGAGGTACCCATAGCATCCCGAATCCCAGTTCTTTCATCAAACGGGATAAAGGAATGAGCAGCCCACACCTGGAGAATGGGCTGGTGAGCCTGCTTGACAAATGGCTGCACTTCGTGTTCTGTCTCATCCAAATTGGACTATAGTTTTTGTTTTTGTTTTTTGAGACAGGGTCTTGCTCTGTCTCCTGGACTAAAACGTGGTGGTGTCATCATAGCTCACAGCAACCTCAAACTTCTGGGCTCAATCGATCCTTCTGCCTCAGACGCCCAAGTAGCTGAGACTATGTGTGCCATGATGCCCTGCCAATATTTTGTAGAGACGGGGTCTTGCTATGTTGCTCAGGCTGATCTCGAACTCCTGGCCTCAAATGATCCTCCTGCCTTAGCTTCCCAAAGTTGCTAAGATTTCAGGCATGAGCTACGGCACCTGGCTTAGACTATTGTTTTTTAACCAGGAATTGGTATTTAAAAATTCCTTCATTGGGCTTATGTTTTTACTCACATTATCAGTTGCATTCATAAACATAATCTTTTTTTT